ATCCAGAATTGACTGCAGTTTCGGCTGCGACTAGTTCCTAGCGTCCCCAATCACAGCTTCAAGTGAGTGGCAGGGCAACTTCTACATTCAAGGTAAGTAATCGAATTTGTAGCTCATACTAGATATTAGTATATTTCGCAACAATGGGCAGTTTAAGGGCTGATATTTATGATTTTTACTAAAAGTTATTCCTTCCCTCCTTGCAATGGGAACCGTGTTAACTTGTTCTTAATACGAAAAATAATTGGATTTTGATGAAGCTCCTGAAATAATATTGTTGGGAAGACTTTCATTTGATATGAAAGGGCATGATGAAGAAATTCTAAGATCGACCTTACCAGAAGACGAATGATTGCCGTTCTACTGCAGACGTTTGGCTTCGCTACGACGCTCAGGTTGATGCAGTCCACGATGCATCTGCTCTCGTTTCGGGTAAAAATAGGCTAAGCTTTCGTCCAACATATAATTGATGTTATCAGAGCCGCAACTCATTCATGTAAAAGTCTCACGTCAATTCGTCTTGATCTAGTGCTAACTTGAAACTTTTACAAGAATGTATTACAAATCTGATGACGTCCATCAGTGGATAGACGAAGGCTCAGTCCGTTTTCATCCTAAATAATGGAGGATGTTTTGTGAAATGTGTCAGCTCAACTTCGTACTAAAACCAAATGGCTGCAGTACAACGAGAAACAGCCTTCGCCTTCTGGCGAGATCCACCTTTGAAGCTTTACATCATAAACTTTCATACGAAATGAAAGTCAACCCAGCATCTTGCTGCTGGACGATGCAAAAGTCCTCACGCGTTTTCTGCTTGCTCCTTTTTTCCTATCAATTTCTACTCATGTCTCGATCTTCTGAGAAGAAATGATGATCCATGAGTACTCCACCATCCGCTCAACCGGAGAACTGGAAGCATCCCGCGATTTCCAAGTCACGTCTAGCGGAGCCAGTCTTATCTGGCCCATCCAGAATCTGCGGTCAGAAGGGCCGATCCCGTCATCTTTAGTTCATGCCGACAGGGCCTTTGGTCCGGCCACACACGGTAGACCCGAAAAGGTCGCTCAACTCAACCATCTTTCTTTTGTCCTCAACACCCGTCAAGTTCGTCCGCCCTGTTTGCACAGTCCACAAGTCGGCCGACTGAGTTCTTTCAGTCGAACCATGTCTTTCGCGGATAATCGTCTTCCCTTATCTCTTCCGGAAGGACTCAGCTTCAAAGTCGAGCATCAAGTCAGACCGACGCTTGGACGACCACCTTTGCTGATAGAGGCTGACGACCTTGCAAAGGGGTACGAACGCAAAACAATCTCCATCCCGGTCACTCAAGTTATTGGCTTCGGGTTGCAACAGCAGTTTGTGCGCAATTCGAGCAACATTTCACAAAGTTTGCTACTCAAACCCAGTGAACTCGGCCACTCGCCTCGCACTCGTGTCTCTCCGTCCGACTCTTCGTTTCGCCCCAACGGCCTGCCAGAATTCCGGCCACAACTTGCGGTGCCCCTTCCGCGACTCGACAAGAGGCAAGCCGAAGTCCCTCCTAGGCCCTACCGGGCGCGCGCCCGTCCCGAGAGGTCGTATTGCCCAACACCTCAGATGCATCAGGTCTACACAAAGACGTCCTTGCCTCTGTCAACAAAGCCAACTGTTTCACTGACCTCTTCGCTGATGACCAACATATCAGCAGAACTCACCCTTGGGGCGTCAACGGCACCAGTGACACTTCCAGACTGAGCGAAGCCTCCTGGTGAGTTGTCTGTCTTCTCGTCAAAAAATCTCAGCCAATACCTTAACCTGAGAGGGCGATGGAGAGAGTCTGACTGAGTTATTGCCAAATTGCTCCCTTCTCGCAACGCTTTACAGGAGACGGATATCGTTATTCATTGAAATGTACTGCGACGTGCATCACAAATGGACCTTCTCTTCTGAGCTGAACAACAGATTTGACTTCATCTAACCTCAGCATCAATGCTTCGAGCGGGATTCGACCCATTGGTAGTTGGGTTCAGCGGCAAACACGCTAGTTGACTCGATAAGTTTAATGGATAGTTTTACAGAGGATGTTAGGAGCTATCCCTTTAATTGGTGGAATAGAACAATTAATACTATTATAAGAAAGAGTAAAGAGAGCGACCTAGCAGTATTAATAGAAGACAAAAAAGGAGCAGTAGTAGTTATAGATGAGACGGATTATGTAGAGAAAATGTTAGCGGCATTAGACGATGATACAACATATAAAACCATAATTAAGGACCCGACAGGGCCTTAATGCCAGACTTAGGGGTCTTCTGCAATAATCTGTAAACAGTGGAGAAATGGAAAAGTATAAAAGAAACGCACCTCTCCAGCGATATGCTAGACCCCCAAACACGTATGGTCTGGCCAAAATTCATAAACAAGATACCCTACTTAGGATTATTGTAAACAATAGTGGTTACGTGGTGCATAAAACATCACGATTTATATGTATTTATTTAAAGCAAAGCTGTAAAAGTGGAAGTTTATAATAAAGAAGTCCTGCGACTTCATAAAACTAGTTGATCATCAGACTATAGAAAGAGGAGATTTGCCCGTAAGTTTCGATGTAGTGTCTATGTACACCAACATTCTGATAATCAAGGAAATTAAGGCTTAGAATTAACTTTGGATCAACACCCTGAAATTATGGCAGGTAAAAAGTTAGGCAAAGATTCGATCATTGGATAAGTCAATTTTGCAAAGTATTTTACCTTCAATGGTGAGTTGTATAAGCAAACACGGGGCTTAGCTATAGGATCTTGTTTAGCTCCTATTTTAGCTAATAACTACATGACTTAATTATAAGTTTTTGTCTTTCAAGAGGCACTCTTGATTCCCAAGTTATTAATTCGTTATATGGACGATTACTATGCTGTTTGGCAACAAGGCCAAATATTTTGGGGGAATTCCTTGAGCTAATAAACAGAGTAGGTGCAAATACTAAGTTCAGCATGGAGTTAGAAATGAAAAATAAATTGCTTTTTTTGGATTTATTAGTGGGCAAGGAAGGTAATAAGTTGGGTATAGGAAGTCCACAGGCGTGGGTTTCCTCACTAATTTCTTCGCCAATCATGCATATAGAGTCAAAATGGCAGTTACGAAGTCTATGATAATAAAGAGTCTGCATCTAGCCGAAGTAAACTACAGGAACGGGAGATCGGTAGATTGAGGCATGTACTATTTCAAAACAATTATCCATTAGGAT